TCATGGACCATTGTAACACATCTTATTAGGTAAGTTACGTTTGCGTGCATGGTCATTTCCGGGCAAAACTTCTTCTTTGGTGAAATGAGCCTCCTACGGACTCATTTTACACTTTTATTGCATAATCTGACCTAAGGGTATTTTGGGAATTTTCTTTCAGAAATAAATTCCGTTCTCCATATAGTCACTTAGAAAATGTGATTTTAGGGGGGTTTTCTTTTTCGTGTTTTTCCAGAAAATGCCATCTTGGTATCAAAAATCGATCGCAAAGTTCAGCTTCTGTTTTTCAATTTAGCAACTTTTTCGACCCTCTGGACCAGATTTCTTGGGAGGGAATTTTGGGCATTTCACATTGCGTATTTTTCAATTTTTTTCACGAGTCATGTAGAAAACTCAATTTTAAGGGGGGTTTCTTCTTGTGTTTTTCTAGAAAATGTCATCTAGGGCCTCAAAATCCCATTTTTTCCGGAAAAACCCCTGCTGCAAGGTTTTTTCTAAGTTATAGTACAAGTGTACGGGTCAAGTGTACGGGTGGTGAATCTCGTAACCGGTTAGATGAGCGTGGGCAGTGAGTTGGTCACTGATTTTTGGTCTTCTAATCAATTAGAAGGATCTCCTAATCAATTAGATGGTCTTGGGTTGACTTTTTGACCGTTTTGCCCTTTCTTCTTCCGTTAGCCATATCTTCTTCATTCGGACTCCGAATCAAGTGATTCTTGAGTCTAAATTCATTAATTTTTCATTGTCTTTCCAATGGTGTGCTTGGTGGCACCCACTTTTAAGCTGGAAATGACTTTTTTGCCCCTAGGTCCATTCTTGTCCGTTTTTGAAATGTTGCTTCTGCATTTGATTCCTTTGGGTTCCGTGACCTCATTGAGGGTCACATTGGCGTCTTAGAGTCATGTTGTATCTCTAGAGACCATTGTTTTGTCTTTTGCTTCCGCATTTCGGATTCGTTATAGAGTCATCTTTCGGTTCATCACTGACGCACCGGGTTGAAAAACTTGGGCCGTCACAAACATACTTTGCAATTAATGAAACACTTTAACACATAAGCATGTAAACAATGTAAATCAACTTCTACACAACCTTAGGTAAGCCTCTACTCGTCGTCCTAATGGTTTTCGAACCATTACTCTGATATCAAGTTTATATCGATCTATTCGGGTCCTTAACCAGACCCGAGGTCATCTAAGGGCATTACGGTCATTTCTAATGTCAAAACATAATTAATACATCATTATATACTTTGTAGTACCCCATAACATAGTCAAATGGGTTGAGATTGAACAAGAGGGGAGAAGAAATGAAAACTGGGGAAGTAGTAGAAATCGATCTATGTGTGCAGGTCACACATTGATCGGTTTAGCTAAATCAGTCAACGTATGCAACTTCACGTCGACCAGTTTTTACTTCTTTAGATAAGGCATGCTTTTGCTGGTTTGAGCCCCCGGCACCCTTGTTGGTCCATTTGTCGACCTAAATATGGTTTAGACCTGTCCCAAAAATGTTCATTTGATAGCGTAAAACATAATTAAACATCCATGCGTCTACATAATCATTAAACGAGTTTAAAGCATCATATATTGTCAAAACAAATCTGGTTACAACTTAACATGGCCAAAAGGCCTTACATGGATTTAGAAATCCTAATGAGACCACAAAATGAAGAAGGATGGTCTCAAAACCATTTCGATTCTTAAATTAAATACATAGACCAGTCATATACAATTTTGTAGCAAAATAGAAACACGTAGATTATATTTTCTACAAAATATCAAATATTACATTGATTACAAAAGAAATAAAGGTTCCTCTAATTTGTCTTAAGCTTGTGGAGGAATGTCATCCACCACTTCCTTTACGTGACCTGAAAAATAGTAATAAAGGGGTGAGCACAACGGCTCAGTAGGTGGTGCCTAAAACACAGCTCTTAATGACCCGGTGAATCACAAACAAAGAACGGAGTATAGTGAATGGATCATACAAACTTTTGGGAAAATAAATCAACCAAGCATCATTACATGAATACAAACACAATCAATAACATGCAATGTAATGCCAATGTCACTCCCCATTTATTTCAAAATCCTTTCCAATGCAATAACCGTTAAACCGATAATATAACCCGGCCCAAGGCGACTCCCCAACATTACGAGAGAAGGATTGGTTAACTATCCCTGTCCTAAGTCAACTTCTTAGTTTCATTTGGGACCTAGGTAACTCAACCACGCATAAAACAGTCTCCCTACATTCCCTCTAGGTTCCATTAACGCCATGGATACAAGGCGACTCCTTGCCGTTCGGATTTCGCAAACATTGTTTCAAACCTTTCCCAAAACAATTTCTTTTCATTTGAAAATCACTTTCCCATTTTTCACCCAATACTGATGCATAAATATTTCATGAATTTTCAACATCGTGCCAACATGAAATTTCACAACTTAACTACTATAATACTCGCATGCTTTGGAGATATTTAATTCAACAATATACATATAAACAACCTCACAATCATAGCATTTTTAAGATAAAATTCATGTAATTTCAACACATTATATTACATAGAACATAACATCATGCTTCACATCCATAAACCCTGATAAACATAAGCAATTTTCATAATTATGCATGATATAACACAAATACAAGAGGGTTTATTCACAAAAACCAAAGAATGTGGGCTTTAAAAACCACTAACTCAAGATTGAAAGAAAAGTCCCAAATTTCCAAAATCCCAAAGTGGTCCAAATGAAGATCGGCTCTGATTAAATCGTAGCTCTCACCGTGCTCGTTAACTTTGCCTTCAATGACAAAGTTCAATTCCAAAAACAAATAGATGAAATCAAGCCTTGAAAGCTATAATTTTAGAGAGAGAAAGAGCTTAGAGAGAGAAGGGCTTTGCTTCAGCTGATACAAGGAGGAAAAGTGACTAAAAATGTGGTTATGTGATCATATTTATCATCCTTGGTCAAGGTAGGTCCGCTTTGACCCTAAAAATGACGAAAGCACACCCCATGCGCAAATATATACATTAAACATGCTATAATGATATAATTAAATACATAGCCATATAAATATACTCCAAATGCAATGAGCCAGAAAAATAATCTCAAGTGTAAAAAACAATCCGGGTGTGGGACCCACTTGGACCTCTCGGCCCGAAAATCTGAAAAATATCAAAATGACCCCAAATTCATTCCTAAGAGTCCTAAACTCAAATAAATGTCCTAAACCACTCTGGGAACCTACATGGCACGCTAAGCGAAGCGTAAAAATAAATAAATTTTAAAAATAGAAAATCGAGAAACATTACAGTGGTAATGGCAGTGGTGTAGTGGTGGAGGTGGCAGTGGAGGTGACGATGTCGTGGTAGTGGTGGTGGAAAGCGACGACAGTGGAGGCGGTGGTAGTGATGGTGGTGGCAGTGGTGCAAAGCAGCAATGGTATAGGTAGCAGTGGAAGGTGGCGGTGGTGGAATGCGGTGGTGGTGGCGGTAATGGTGACGGTGGTGGAAGGCAATAGAGGTGGCGGTGGTCGAATGTAGTAGTAGTGGAAGTCGGTGGTGGTGGTGGCAATGATGGAGATGGAGGTGGCGGTGGTACAAGGTAGTGGAGGTGACGATGATGTGGTGGTTGAAAGCGTCAACAATGGTGGCGATGGTGGAAGGTAATGGAGGTGGTGGTGGTGAAAGGCGGTAGTGGTTATGGTGGTGGAAAGCAGTGGTGGCGGCGGTGATTTTTAGACTCGGAACATGAGGGTTTTTCTAAAAAAAATTACATGAATGGAATGACAAATGAATTATTGAAGTGGACATTCCATTCTATTCTATTCCATTCTTACATACCAAACGCAATACAAATCCTAAGTTGAGGTTTAACTTTTACTTCATTACGGTTCTAAACAATACACCGGTTGATGGAAAAGTGTGTTCGCTTAGATTTAAGGGCATGTATGATTTGCTTGAATTCATAGCATGTTTATATGCATGTTTTAGAGAATTTATATTTCATGAATATTTGTCTTCCCCTTGACGGTGAATTTGTGGAACATATATCCGTTCATTGTTTATCATGATGATATTCATTACTATTATTATTACCATTTTTTTTTACACAGGTGCTCATTTTGACACATCCTAATACATTTATAAACCAGAAAAGAAAATATGTAGTGTTTGTTTGAAGTCTAAAAGGACTGAATTTAATAAAATGACAAATTGACTATTTTTATTATAATTTAGGAGCCTTACAGAAGAACGGTTAACAAAAATCTTTGGCCAATTGACCCACTGACGGCAATAGTTTGATTCTTCCTTCATTCCTTGGCAGGTTTGTTTTTGTTCCTAAATTTTCTTTTACTTTTTATTTCTTTATTATCTCCTTTTCATTTTGACAGTCAAACTTTTAGAAGATAGATATAATAAAACAAAGCGATCTTTTCTTTTTGTTAGGTTGATTCATATAAATAAATATTGGCCGTCAATGAATGCATGCAATCATCATCGCTATTGATCAAATTACATATTGTTTTTTGTTTTATTTTTTTTCGGTCCCCGCAAATAATGTTATAAAACTCATTGGCTTTCACCAATCTCAATTAAACCAAGCCCCATTAAATAAGTTTCCATTTGTTTTCGATGTTAGCTCCTCCCTCCCTTTGAGAGAAACTTGTACACTACTCGAGGAATAAAAAACAGCGTAACTAAGAGAATTGAAGTGCAAAAATACCTTTGTTATATACTGAATGTGCAAAAAAATTGGGCAAATAAGGACATTTTCTCAATTAAAATACCTAAAACTCCCCAAAAGCAAAATTAAAAGAAAAATAATTTAAACACTCGCACGCACTAATTTCATTAAGGGTATTTTAAAAAACAAATATGGTAAAAATTATAAAGATTTTATATACACATGCTTAAATAACAAGGGTGTTTCTTTCAATTTCTTACCTAGCACCAATTTTTTTTTTTTTTTTTTTTTTTTTTTTTTTTTTTGTACTTTACCCTTATTATTATATTCACCAATTATCCTTTGCTAAAAGGAACAAGCCTAAAGAATTACCATGCTAACAACAACAATAGCTATGCTATGGTATGCCTTCAAAAGGCAGTGGTGTTCACATGCACACCATAACTAAAAAAATGGTCATAGACAACCTCCCATTTATTATTAGATATAACTTGACAGTAAGGATCTATTCCCTAGCTCGTCTTTGGAACTTATTTAGATACATACGCAGTAAACATCTATCAGCAACTCATCTTTTACACAAGGCTCGAACTGTCCCTCCAAGATGCCTCCAGACGTAGGGCTCTTTCTAATGTCGAATAACCTGCATATGCCGCATGCCCACCCAATTCAATACAAATTCAGTAAAAAGAAGGTCTAGGGCTCTTACTAATGTCGAATTCAAATGCAATCTTTCTTACCGAGCTTGCAAATCCTCAGCATGCAAAGGTTGAGCGTCAATTAAAATTCATGTTCCCCAAACACACGTATTTAATCTGCAATTGGAAGCATGGAAGAATGCCTGAGTTAGTCACAGAGAATAAAATAAACATAACGCATACATTGGGTTCTGGAATTATTTTATACGACAACATTCCTGATTCAGAAATTAACCAAGAAAGTGTATTGAATAGAGATAAACAATTTGGGGAAAGGGGAAATGGCATCCTTAATCAAAATATTTTACAAATTATTGACCTATGTGGAACAATCAGCTTCTTTTTTTTCCCCCTTCTTTTCTATTTTCTATATCCCCGGGTGGTTGCATTGTACATTTGAATATACTTACTTCCAAATATTCGTCCATCCCATACTTGGAACCTTCCCGTCCAAGACCAGACTGTTTGAAGCCACCAAATGGAGCCACCTACATGAAAGGAAAAGAAGCAATAAGCCACTCAACAACCATTCCTATTTATCCACTGCATGCAGGATAAGACCCACCTCTGTTGAAACCAGTCCCTCGTTAACTCCAACAATTCCATATTCAAGAGCTTCAGCGACGCGCCAAGAACGTTGAACATTTGTTGTGAATATGTAAGCGGCTAACCCTACACATGTAGATATGAATTTTACAGTGACAAGTCTAGTCTAAAGGAATCCATGGATCTATTAACCAATAGAGTATGGAAAAGATATATTCTTTGCAAATTCTACATTGGTATACTACCTATGTATCTAGGTTAGGTTTGGTTTACAAGATATGCAAATACACACACACACATATACATACTTCTAACTAGGAACAAAAAAAAATTATATATATACATATATATATATACATACTTCTTATGAAAGATGCAATTTCATAAGCATACTATCTTTTATAAAAAATGGGCAGTGGTCTGGAACACGAACCTGCATTGGTGTCATTAGCAATACCAATAGCCTCTTCCTCAGTTCTAAATTGCAAAAGGGGTGCAACTGGTCCAAATACTTCCTCCCTGAGGTGAATTCAAATACCATTTATAAGAATAGAATAAAGTAGTTATACATTTCACAGATCTAAAAGCAAAAAATTTCAAGCAATCACATGATAGAAGTGGGATCCAAATAAATAATAATAAATAAATAAATAAACAAAAACAAAACAAAAAGAAAACAGATAGAAGTGGGATCCAAATGCCCTGACCACTTATTTCCATTAAATATAAAAGACAATTACATAATGACTTCCTAGAAGCCCCATTCACACAAAGGTCAGTTTTACTAAATTGCATGTGGAGAACCTTTACAATTCTCAAATTATTGCAATTAACACAACCTCAAATACCCCCAGCTCATTTCACGAAAGTCTTAGGTAATGAACTAAATGGCACTAAATATAGGACATGTATGCTCTGAACAAATACTCCATCAAAATAACTAGAAGATCTCAGGCATTCTTAGTCTTTGTACATCTTAATGATGCCACTTAACCTCTATAATCCTACTGTAGAGGTAACAAAGCAATTAGCAGACAACATCCAATCATTCATTCACCTTGACAGGAGAACCTTATAAAATTTCAATGACCTTAAAATCATCGAGCCACTGTTTAACATAATCTACATGGCTTTTAGGCTGAAATCTTTTTACCACCTCTCATTTTCTAAGAATGATAATATGAAAAGAAACACATTGGTCTCAAAAAAGTCTGAACAAAACTTTATAAAGAGAGAAAACAATCAACCATTCCAACTCAAAAGTTGTCCTGGACAAGTGATGAGTAATGTAAAGCCTGATAGTCCTGTAAGCCTTACCACACGTCGTGGATCCAACTTGTTCACAGTTGGTATGTAGCCCTAGTTATATACTAGTTTTACAAGAAAGAAGAGAAGTCCTCGTATATTGCATTACAGTAATATTGAATTATGAAAGATGAGATATAATAAAAAAAAGCCTAACTAAAATAGGAAAAGACAAAACCAGCCCTAACAAATATAACAATGTACATCAAATACAACTCTTTAACAACGCCCCCAACTACATAGAAGAAGCATCGAGAGTTTGTCAAGAAGCATTGAGAGTTTGTCAAGAAGAAAATGAAAATGCATAATAGTGTGGTACTTCGTGAAGAAGTCAGCCAACTACATAGAAGAAGACTCGAATGGTAAAGAAGTGGTATGAAGCACAAGGTGCTGACGCACGAAATGACAAATCAATCTCGATGTGCTTGTTACGCACATGAAAAATATATATATATGTGCAATCTGAATGGCACTCTTGTTGTCACAGCACATAGGTGTGGGAGCAAACAAAGAAACACCCAAATCAGCAAGCAACCATTGCAACCAAACTATCTCCGCTCTAGTAGCAGCCATGGCACGATACTCAACTTCAGCAGAAGAGCGAGCAACAACTATTTGTTTCTTACTTTTGCAGGAAATGAGAGAATCACCTAGAAAACCGCATAAACAAGTGGTAGACTTGAGATTTGTGGAATCCCCAGCCCAGTCAGCATCAGAAAAAGCTCAAAGCTCCAAAAGATGATGTAGAAGAAAACAACGAATTTTGGTGCAAAGTACCCCGAAGATAACGCAAGATACGAAGAACAGCGCCCCAATGCACAATAGTGGGAGAGGATACAAACTGACTCACAATGTGAACACCAGGTAAGATCAGGCTGAGTTACAGTGAGGTACACTAAACTGCCAACTATAGCTCGATATAAAGTGGGATCAGCTAAAGGAACACAGAGAAGAAGTATAACAAACATTAAGCTCTAAGTGAGATGAGCTCTGTGAATTACACCTGCCACATACTTAGAGTCAGAAGAAAACCTTTAGGAGAATGAGCTACTTCAATACCAAGAAAATAACGAAGACGACCAAGATCCTTCATCTCAAATTGTTGTTGCAATTGGGATTTCAAAATATCAATGCCAACAATGTCATTACCAGTCAGAACAATGTCACAACATATAAAAGAAGAATAATATCACCAGAGGTAGAGCAAATAAAAAGAGCAAAATCATGATAACTGGCCTTTTTGGTTTGCGGAGCAGTTTTGGACAAGATCTTGATGCTTGATAATCTGAGAAGGAGAAGATAGGTTACTGTTAATTGGTTCTACATGTGCAAATGGAATGGGGAGTCAGTAGATCACCTTCTATTGCTTTGCCCCGTGGCTCACGACTGTTGGAGTCTTATTTTTGGCTTTTTGGTGTTCAATGGGTTATGCCTAGGTTTACGAGAGGGATTGATTGATGCTTGGAGAGGCTGCCATGTGGGTCCTCACGCCCCTCTTTTTTGAAGAATGGCACCCTTTTGTGTTTGGAGGTGCATTTGGAAGGAACGGAATAGGAGATCCTTTGAAGGAGAGGAATCTTCTATTAGGGCCTTAAAGTTTTCTATTGTTTGCTCTCTTTTTTGTTGGGTTATGGGGAAAAATTGTAAATCTATATAGGACATTGTTGATCTTTTGGGCTCCTTGAGTTTTTAGGGTGGTGCATTTGGAAGGAACGGAATAGGAGAACCTTTGAATGAGAGGAATCTTTTATTGGGGCTTTAAAGTTTTCTATTGTTTACTCTCTTTTTTGTTGGGTTACGGGGAGATATTGTATATCTATAGAGAAGATTGTTGATTTTATGGGATCCTTGAGTGTTTAAGGCCTTTTGGCTTCATCCGTTGTCTTGGGCTCCTTGAGTTTTTACGGCCTTTTGGATTCAGCCGTTGTGTAGTTCCTTGGGATGCGTTCCCCTTTTGAATACTTTCTAATACATATTTACTTCTTAAAGAAAAAGAAAAAAAAAATCACCATCTAGGTCCACGCATACATGTGTTACGTTCACACAATCTGAAAAATTGCATCTAGAACCTAGATTGTGTTTATTTTTCAATATATATATGAAAATTAGGAGCAGTGTTTTTAACACGCGGTTATATATTATGTTGAAATATCTATATTATTATTTTTATTTTTGTTAGCTGTTTTCAGCCTTTTATTAGGTGCTTTTATGTAAGATCCCTATTATCATGAGATCACATAGATATGATCCCCGTAATTATGAGATCACGTAGATAAGATCCACATAATCATAGGATCACGTAGATTTTGGCATATTTCCTGTTTTCCTTTAGGGTTTTGAGCCTTTGAAAAATTCCTTATAGCAAGCTGCATTATTGAGTGTATTGAGAGTTGAATATGAACACACTTTTCTGAGATTATATGTAATTATGAAAGCTTGATTTAAGCTCAGAAATCCATTCATAGAATACACAAGTGTTGAAGATCAAATGAAGGCCTGTAGTTGTGAATTTTATTGGTGCAGAAGCTAGATTCAAGGACTTAAGTTGATTTGAGCTTGTTGTGGTGCTTGTACAAGGTTGAAGCAAGTGTAACTACATATTTTACATCTACAAAACATGACCATCTTTTAGCTTCATTTGATTTTGATGTCTCAGACAGGCACTTCAGTTTGATTTTCTGGTTTAGCTTGTTGATCCAAACATTTTTTTTTTTTTTTGATAAGTAAGATATATTAACAAAAGTGCTCAGAGGGGAGCGAACCCATAACAAAGCAAACAAAATACGCAATTACAATGATAAGTTGTCAACAAAATCCAAAAGGCTATCCACAGATGGGCAAATTTTCCAATTAACCCAAGAATAAGAGAATGCAAAATATTCGCCTTAATAATTCACACCGGCAACTCCTTTCCCTCGAAAGATCTCCTATTTCGCTCGTGCCACAGCCCCCACCAAATACAAAGAGGTGCAACCCTCCATGCCTTCCTAACCTGACTGCCCATTGGTCTCCCTCTCCAAGCCTCTAACATATCCATCGTGTTACTTGACACCACCCAGTCTACCACAAAAATATTCAGAACCAAACTCCAAACAAACGCTGCCACTTTACAGTGCAACAAGAGATGATTAACCGACTCGCCCGCCTTATTACACATGCAACACCAATTAACTGTTATTTGGCGTCTTTTTCTGAGATTGTCAAGAGTAAGAATGCTGCCAAGCACCACTGTCCACGTGAAAAATGCCAACTTCAGTGGAGCTAAAGTCCTCCATACAGCATTCCAAGGGAAACTGTTGCTTATCGAATTCGTAAGACTTTGATAAAACAGCCTCACCGTAAACACCCCTCTAGAATCCCCCATCCACACCATCTCATCCCTACCTCCCCCTCCACCACTTGACTATAAATTAATCCCATTAAATCAGTAAACTCCAAAAACTCCCAATCATTAAAATTTTTGCAAAATCTCACATCCCAACTTGCTCTCCCATTCTCTAGCCTAAAATAATCTTCTCCTCAACCATCCTAAAGAGTCTAGGAAACCTACAAGCCAACACCACATCCCCACACCAAACATCCGTCCAAAACCTCACATAACCACCATTCCTAACTCTAAACCGTATCCGCTTAGATAATTCGTCTCATCCCCTCCTAATACCTTTCCATGAACCAATACCTGCTAATGAAGGCACACCTATGGACATCCAACCTCCCTCCTCTTCCCCAAACCGACAAGCAATAACACACCTCCAAAGCACGGACCTTTCACACCCAAATCTCTATAGCCATTTCCCTAACAAAGCTTTGTTAAACATTTCCAACCTACAAAGCCCCAAGCCTCCTCTTTGAATCGGGGTGCACACTTTCTCCCATTCCACAAGGTGGTACTTAAAGTTTCCCTAAATTTTATTAATTCTACTAATCATTGTTCCAGGGATTGGAAACAAAGACATGAAATATGTAGGAAGATTAGAGAGGGTACTCTTCAGCAATGTAAGTTTACCCCCTTTCGACAAGTATTGCTTCTTCCACCCAGATAACCTCTTTTGAAAACATTCCACCACTGGATCCCAAACGGCAACTCTCCTCATGGAAGCACCCAATGGCAGCCCTAAATAAGAAAATGGAAAAGCCTCCACTCCGCAATCCAAAATAGCTGCCAACTCATGAATATGATCCACCTCCCCTACTGGAACAATCAAATTCTTCCC